CGCAGTTCTGCACCTGACCTTGGATACAGTAGCTAATAGGACACTATGGCCACACCAGAGTCTTCGGAAGGGTGTTTAGATTAGTAGCCAGAAAACGAAGTTTGTACCTCTGCCTCTGTTTTGTCAATGTGTTGAAGTTTAAGTGCTCTGCAGCAGTCTGCATGTGTGCTATAAATTACACCTCAGAACACAAGCTGGCCGAGCGTGGCAGCACACACTTGTAGCCCTAGCACTTGGGAGGCTGAGGAAGGAACATCATGAGTTCAAGTCCAACCTGGGCTACATAGTGAATTCAAGGCCAGGCTGGCTCCATAGCCACACCCTGCTCCCCCACAAAAAAAATTTAAAAAGGAAAAACAGAACTCCAAATCCTCAGGAAGCGTTCACGCTTGACTACAAATTGATGTTTTCTTCAGGCAACCCAGTGAGGCACCTGCAATGTCAGAAATGGCCACCAGGGGGAGGATGAATTCTTTTGGAGCCAGGTGGCTGGAGGCCCTAATTGGGGAAGGGACAGCTCAGTCCTTCAGCACTGCTCAAGTTCAGGACGTTCCTAACTCAAGAGAGTCAGCCTCATTCACAGAACATGGCCAGGCCTGATACTGACTACCTCCCCTCCCCCCCCGGCGCCCCACACTTCCTGCACGTGGTTGTATGTGCCTCTGGCACCCTTGATTACTGGCGTCTATGACAACAGACGTCCACCCAGTCCTGGGCGCTGCCGGAGTGAGCAGCGCAGACACCCTGCACTCATGGTGCTGGTATTGTCAAGTGTGATAGGGACGAGAGGGACGGAGTCACACACCGAGCATGTCAGGTGGTACAGGCCTCTGGATGGGAGGCGTTCTGTGGGGGCCACTGAGGAACGCCAGGCATCTCCTTGGAAGATGACGCCTGGATGGTGCCTTGGCTAAGTACCTCCTGTGCTATCCTGAGACTGTTGGGAGGGAAGGTGTCAGGAGATGGCAGTCTGCCTTGAGACCTTGGGAGAGGGCTGCGCAGAGGGTGAGGGGCAGCTGGACATGCAGCTGGGCTCAGCAGAATAGCAATGGTTGGAGAAGCAGCGTGCGGGTATTGACTCAGCAGACAGTGGAAAACTGAGGCCTCAGGCAAAGCCAGCTGCGAGGGGAGAGCGGCCAAGAGCCCTCCCTGACTGCTGGAAGGTTGAGATTTCACCAGAAGGCCAGCACAGGCATGTTCAGTGCGAAGTGTGCAGATATCTGACAACTACCTGCAGTATTTCTTTTTTTTTTTTTTTTTTTTGGTTTTTCGAGACAGGGTTTCTCTGTGTAGTTTTGGAGGCTGTCCTGGCACTTGCTCTGTAGACCAGGCTGGCCTCGAACTCACAGAGATCTGCCTGCCTCTGCCTCCCGAGTGCTGGGATTAAAGGCGTGCGCCACCAACACCCAGCCTACCTGCAGTATTTCTTTCTTTTCTTTTTTCTTTTTTGGTTTTTCAAGACAGGGTTTCTCTGTGTATCCCTGGCTGTCCTAGAACTCGCTCTTGTAGACCAGGCTGGTCTCGAACTCTCAGAGATCCGCCTGCCTCTGCCTCCCGAGTGCTGGGATTAAAGGCATGTACCACCACTGCCCAGCATCTGCAGTATTTCTTTTTTTTTTTTTAAAGATTTATTTATTACATATACAGCGTTCTGCCTACATGCCAGAAGAGGACACCAGATTGAATTGTAGATGGTTGTGAGCTACCATGTGGTTGCTGGGAATTGAACTCAGGACCCCTGGAAGAGGAGTCAGTGCTCTTAACCTCTGAGCCATCTCTCCAGCCCCTGCAGTATTTCTTAAACTTTAATTAATTTAGTTGATGTGTGTGTGTGTGTGTTTGCAAGTATGCACACACATGTGCACAAATGCCACATCAAAAGTTTGGAGGTCCCAGGACAATTTACAGGAGTCAAGTCTCTCCTTCTGTCACATAGGTTCCAGGATGAAAGTCGGATCATCAGGCTTGGCGGCAAACGCCGTTATCTGCTGAGTCATCTCACCGGCCCCACACATGAACTTTAAGAGGGGTTATTTTATGTGTGCGGGTGTTTTGCCTGCATGTATGACTATGGACCATGTGCACGCAGTGCCCACAGTGGCCAGGAGAGGGCGGTAATGGGTGATATGAGCTGCCCTGTGGGTGCTGGGAACCAAGTCTGGGTCTTCAGTGAGAATAGCCTGCTCCAGCCCCACACACACATTTTTGAAGGACTTAGGTAAAATAGCTAAAGGTGGAAACAGTGTTCCACTTGTCCACTTTGTGACCACTTTCTCCCTCTCCTCCTCCTCAGTCACTGTTTGAGTCACTGACGGGCTTTCTGGAACACACTGACTTGGCTTCTGAATTGTGTGGTGCTGTTTTCAGCCCAGGACACAGGAACACAGGAACCTGTTCACACAGCTGCCGTGATCACTAAGCCGCTGTAGTCCCCGCAGAAGGGCGGCTACAGATCTTTCCAATTGTGTATATGAAATTCACAACACGACACAAGGTTTTCTACGAGCTTTTTTCCACTCAGCCCCTTGTCTGGGGACCCTTCCGTACTCACTACACAGCAGCACCATGGTTTTTTTTGTTGTTGTTGTTGTTTTGTTTTTTTTTTGTTTTTGATTTTCGGGACAGGGTTTCTCTGTGGCTTTGGAGGCTGTCCTGGAACTCGCTCTGTAGACCAGGCTGGTCTCCAATCACAGAGATCCACCTGCCTCTGCCTCCCGAGTGCTGGGATTAAAGGCATGCGCCACCAACGCCCAGAGCTCACTTTACACTTACAGCAGTCCTCCTGCCTCAGTCTCCCAGTGCAGGGGTTACGAGCAGCCACCTTCACTCCTGGCTTGACTCGCTTTATTGTGTTAATGCTTGGCCACAGCTGTCCCATACAGGCTGAGATTGGGGCGGCCCAGGTATTGCTTCTTTAATAAACTCGTGGCAAATGGTGGGCAAGTGTGGCTCTCTAACAAAAGAACTCTGAACAATAGAAGCGGTGGCCCAAGTGTACAGAGGATGTCACAGCGCCATGGTGATGGCGGTGGGCCTGGCCTTGTGGACATTAGAGCCTGGGCAGCCTTGAAGCCGCCCTGACTGTTAACCCTTCAGTGGCCTCACTGGAAGAGTGGGCACTCCCCACATGTCCTCCCCCTCCCTCCCGCCCCTGCCCGCTGCAGCCCCACGTCGCAGACCCCCAGGGCCGGTTGTTTCCCTGACTTTCCCTGTGTCCCCATGCAGAACATTGACACTCTGGAGCGGGTGGCAGGATTGGAGCCCCAGGACCTGGTGGAGGCCCATGGCACCTTCTACACGTCACACTGCGTCAGCTCCTCCTGCCGGCAAGAGTACTCCCTGAGCTGGATGAAAGGTGAGGCGGGTATCCCAGATGAGGCCACGCCTCCCGCTCCTGGCCCTCGCCACAGCCAGGTCTCCAAGTGGTTTGGCACCATCGTGGTCTAGTCCAGTTCTGTAGCCAGTTAGCCAGTGAGCTGGTTGGTTTCTTCTGAGACTAGGTTTCCCTATGTAGCCCAGGCTAGCCTTGAGCTTGCACTTGTGCCTCAGTCTCCCCAGTGCTGAGGCGACAGGCATGCGCCGCCACAGTCAGGATCTTCTCTTTATAGTAGCTGTAGAAGCCCCAGAGATTCCAGGTGGTGTCAAGTCCCCTGGCTCCCTTGCCACCCCTCTGCCAGGCTGCCTACATTTGAACTACACAGCCAGGCCAGCCACACGTAGACTCGGTGTAGACTCTCAGTGGTCACAGAGCCGCTGAAGTCAGGAGCAGCTCTGTGGCCTCCAGGGTGTTTCACCATTTCTCATGAACGTCCTTACGTCAAGGGAAACACAGCTACGTACTCAGGTCGGCACTGAAATGATGGAGGCCATGTCTGCATCCACTATGCTGCTGCTGCTGTTTGTCTCCTGAGCACTAGGAACGAGCCTAGTGAACCAAAGAGTCAATTCTCAACTTCCACCATGCAGGTCCCAGAAACCGAACTCAAGCTGTCAGGCTTGAAAATGGCACCCTTACCTTCTGAACCATCTTGCCGGTCCAGAACATTAAAAAAAAATTCAAGACAGGGTCTCTAATTTTATCAAACTTCTGTTGATTTTTTTTTTTTTTTTTTTTTTTGGTTTTTCGAGACAGGGTTTCTCTGTGGCTTTGGAGGCTGTCCTGGAACTTGCTTGGTAATCCAGGCTGGCCTCGAACTCACAGAGATCCGCCTGCCTCTGCCTCCCGAGTGCTGGGATTAAAGGCGTGCGCCACCAATACCCGGCAAACTTCTGTTGATTTAAATTGGAGAAGTCACATCAGGAGCCATGGTATATGCCTGTTATCATTGCTTGGGAGACAGAGGCAGGAGGGTCAGGAGTTCAGGGCTAGCCTTGGCTACATAGCAAGTTCCTGGCCATGCTGGGCTATACGAGAAAAAATAAAATAAGAAATAACAATAAATTTTATAAGTTCCCTGTAGCTCAGGCTTCTATATTAGACAGAGCAAGAGGACTTTGTAGAGAGGTGAAATCCTGGGTAGAGATGCTGGAGGCACACATGACGTGGCTCACAACTGTCTCCACTGTCACTGTCCCGTTCATGTAAGGACAGCGCATCCAAGAGACACAGCCAGTCCCCTCGCCCTCGGTGCCAGCACCAGCCTGTTTCTGGCAGCCTTTGTGCTGAGTCTGAAGCTGCGGTGTCACTCTGGGAAGCTATATTCTTTATGCTGACTTCACAAAGCCCCTGGTGTCCCCTCCAGATCAGGATAGCTGCGGCCTTTGTGGCAGGACTGTGGAAGGTGGCCTGTCAGAATGCCAGCCGAGACTGAGGGTCCCTGAGCACTGTGCACAGCTGGGGTGACGGACAATGGACGTCACCCTCTTTATGGCCCTGGGCAATGGCATCTACCACCTGCAGAACAGCACGTGGCTTGTGTAGAAAGACCCTGAGTGGCGGTGGTTAAAGCCACACTCCAACAGACAGAGGAGTGGCTGAGTGACTGAGGTCCAGTCCTGCGGGCTGCAAGTGACAGATGGGCTTTCTAGCTTCCTGCTCCACAGGCAGTAAGGAGTGTGACTGTCATAAGGGTGCTATTGGAGGAGCCTGTCACAGGGACCCAGTCAGGAGGCGGATGGGCGTGAGGTTGGCTCCATCCCAAGATTCTCTGTACGTCCTTTCCTGGCCCAGGGGCAAATGGGACTGTCCTCAAGACCCATTGGTAGGGCTTGGCTCCCATTCCCCAGATGGGGGTCTGGTGGAGTCCAGGGGTGCCTGGCAGGGGCAGGTGGCTTTGTTCCTGTGTTTATCATCTCTCGTTCACTAGCTGTAGGTGGTGGTGCTTGGAGTCACCCCTGAATGCCTGGAGGAGGAGAGGAAGGCTCTCTAAGGAGGGAGCTCCTCTCTAATAAGCTAGAAGGACACCCCAGGAAATCCCTTAGTGGTGGGGTGTGCTGCGTGTTTTGTGCTGCTGGGGCTTGGGCATATAAAGTCAGATGCTCTACCACTGAGCCTCACCCCCAGCCCCTCCCTGGGGAATTCTAGGCAGGCACTCTACCACTGACCACGCCCCAGCCCCTCACTGGGGGATTCTAGGCAGGGGCTCTACCACTGACCACACCCCAGCCCCTCACTGGGGGATTCTAGGCAGGGGCTCTACCACTGACCATGTCCCAGCCCCTCCCTGGGGGATTCTAGGCAGGGGCTCTACCACTGACCATGTCCCAGCCCCTCCCTGGGGGATTCTAGGCAGGGGCTCTGCTAATGAATCATGTCCTAAGTCCCATAACGTTCCACCATTGAGCTACATCCTTAGCTCTTGGGTTTTTTATTGTTGTTGTTGTTTTTAAATTATTTTTCACATTTATTTATTTGTGTGTTTGCATGTGTATATGTGTGTGTGTATACATGCCACAGCATGCCTGACAATGTCAGACGACAGTCTGCGGAAGTTGTTTCTCTCCTCTTAGCATGTGGGTTCTTGGGATGGAACTTGGGTCATCAGGCTTTTGGCAGCAAATGCCTTTACACAGAGCCACGTCCCTGCCCCAGCTCTGGGTTTCTGGACGTGGTCTTGCTGTGTAGCCAAGGCTGACTGAGAACTCCTAGTCCTCCTGAATTCTCCCAGAAGCAGGTTTAGTGGCTCGCCCCACTGCTACTGCCTGGGTTGCATTCATGTTGAAAGCAGGGGAGGGCAGAAGAGGGCTGCTCCTGCCTTGGGAGGCCTCACCTCTGCTTCCTCCCTCTTTCCCACCCAGAGAAGATCTTCTCAGAAGCAACCCCCAAGTGCGAGAAATGTCAGAGCTTGGTGAAGCCTGGTAAGCCTCAGGGACTGGGGGACTGGAACTGGGCCCCCCCACGGTCCCCTCTCTCCACCTCTGCTGCCCGGGGTGGGGGACTGGAACCGGGGCCCCTCTCCCCCATGGTCCCCTCACTCCACCTCTGCTGCCCGGGATGGGGGACTGGAACCGGGGCCCCTCTCCCCCATGGCCCCCTCACTCCACCTCTGCTGCCCGGGGTGGGGAACTGGAACCGGGGCCCCCTCCCCCACGGTCCCCTCTCTCCACCTCTGCTGCATGGCCCATTTCCCACTGTCCTGCAGAGGGTGGGTATCTGTCCGCCCCCTCAGGCCTCAGTTGGCCCCAGACTTCTGCTCTAGCTCTGTGTCCTATGCCTCCTCTCTGTCCCTGTGTTCCTTTGTCTGTTTCTACTTAGACATCGTGTTTTTCGGTGAGAACCTCCCTCCACGCTTCTTCTCCTGCATGCAGTCAGTGAGTGTCCGCCCTGGGCTTGGCGGATGTGGGGTGCGGGGCTGGAGGGGAGGCAGGGCCCCAAGCCAGAGCAGTGGGGGCCACGTCCTTACTGGCTGCTCCCCGCAGGACTTCTCCAAGGTGGACCTCCTCATCATCATGGGCACCTCCCTGCAGGTGCAGCCCTTCGCCTCCCTCATCAGCAAGTAGGTCGAGGGGGGTGGGACTGCGGGTCACCTGGGGACAGGGTACCAGGGCAGACCCTGAATCCAGCTCCCCATTCCCAGGGCACCACTGTCTACCCCACGCCTGCTCATCAACAAGGAGAAGACGGGCCAGGTGAGTCTGCCTCAACTTCCCTCTCCCTGTTCCTCTGCTCACCGGGGGCCCTTTCACCCCCTTCTTCAGGAGGACGAGACAGGTCTCAGAGTCCTGGCTAGAGAGCATCAGCTGCCATTCAGGCTGGAATATGGAAGCTGGGCGCAGGGCTAACCTGACACTGCAGGCCTCTGGGTCACTCCGGACCCCTTTGAGCGGACGACAGAACCATCCCTGGAACCTGCTAAAGCCCACGTGCTTCCTGGGACCCAGGAGACCAGGGTGCCCCTGGTTTGCAACCGAGGCTGCCAAGGCCTGACTCACCCCTCCAGGGGAGGCCTTAGTCCTGGGTGGAGAGGATATATTCCAGGAAGGGAGGGGTGGTGCCTGCCTGTGACACAGGTGCCAGGAGACACAGTCACCGCATGTGCCACAGTGTCCCAGACCAGCCATTGCCAGTCCAGTACGGACTCATATGCGAAAATCCAGGGACTCTCAAGTCCCCTCCTATGCAGTGGTTTGTATGGAGCCCACACACCCTCCTGGGTGTGCTAAGCGATGTCACTGATGTGTGGTGACACAGTGTGAGCTCTGGAAATAGTTGTCAAGACAGACTCTCATTGCAGCCTGTCCTCTCAAACTCACCATGTAATTACCGGTGGCCTTGAACGCCTACTCTTCCTGCCTCTGCCTTCCAGGTTCTAGAACCTGGCTATGTTATCTATTTTTGCTATTGTGGTTTGTTTTTTTGTTTTGTTTTTTTCAAGACAGGGTTTCTCTGTGTAGCCCTGACTGGCCTGGAACTCTCTCTGTAGATGAGGCTGCCCTCAAACTCACAGAGATCCTCCTGCCTCTGCCTCCCAAGTGCTGGGATTAAAGGTGTGCACCACCAACACCTGGCTTTGTTTTGTTTCTTTCAAGACAGGGTTTCTCTGTGTTGGGAACTTGTTCTGTAGACAAGGCTGGCCTCAAACTCAGAGATCCACTTGCTTCTGCCTCCTGAGTGCTGGGATTAAAGGTGTGCTCCACCACCATCCACCAAATGTTTAGAAATTTATTTATCACCATGTCCCATCTCAACCAGCAACTGCTGACAATACAAAACGAGGGGTAGCCAGAGGGGATGTGTCTGGTGGATTGAAGGCTCTGGGGGAAAAAGCTCAAATAAAATGATGACACCCTCCAAAACAGATTCCGATTAAACGTCTGTGACAAGTCTCAGTTGACAGGAAACGCAGGGACAGAAGAACACATGAAGTCACACAAGAAGGCACGGTGGCATGTGTTTGCAGCCCCACACTGGAGAGGCAGATTGGTGGATCCCTGGGGCTCACTGGACAGCCAGTCTCACAAACTGCAAAGTTCCAGAACAACTGAGAAACCTTGTAGCAAAAGGAATATGTTTGGGCCGGGGATACAGCTCACTGGCAGAGTGTTTGCCTGGTATACACAGAGGCCTGGGTTCAAGCCTCTGCACTGCCAGAAAAAAAAATATAATGGTTTAGGACAGGAGAGATGGCTCAGAGGTTAAGAACACTTTCTGTTCTTCCAGAAACCCATGTGCAGTTCCCAGCACCAGTCAGGTGCTCACAACTACCTTAGCTCCAGCTCCTGGGGCCGGATGCCCTCTTCTGCCCTCTTTGAGCACCCACACACAAAGGGGACACACACAGAGACACACATAGAGACACACGCAACCACAAACACTTAGGAAATAAAAATAAACTGGGGCAGTGGTGGTGACACCTCTAATCCCAGCACTCGGGAGGCAGAGGCAGTCGGATCTCTGTGAGTTCGAGACCAGCCTGGTCTACAGAGAGAGTTCCAGGACAGCCAGGACTACACAGAGAAGCCTGTGTCGATAATAAATGTTAGGCAGGTCTGGTGGCTCCAGGCCGTGCCCTTAGCCGCCCTCTTCCCACAGACAGACCCCTTCCTGGGCATGATGATGGGCTTGGGCGGTGGCATGGATTTTGACTCCAAGAAAGCTTACAGGTGAGGCCTGGGCCCGGCCTGGGGGCGGGGGGGGGGTTGGGGGAGAAAGAGCTTGGGAAGGGCAGGCTGAGGCGGGAGAGAAGACGGAAGGCTGGCCAGGCCTTAGCGCATTTTCTAACTGCTGCTCACACGCAGGGATGTGGCCTGGCTAGGTGACTGTGACCAAGGCTGCCTGGCCCTGGCTGACCTCCTCGGATGGAAGGTGAGGAGCTGAGCCACCCCAGCCCACCCTGAGCCCAGCCCCGTGAGGGTGTATGTAACCTCTGACTTGTATGACCTTTGCCCCCGGCAGAAGGAGCTGGAAGACCTTGTCCGGAGGGAGCACGCCAGCATAGACGCCCAGTCGGGATCACAGGCCCCCAACCTCAGCACTACCACCTCCCCTAGGAAGTCCCCACCTCCAGCCGAGGAGGCGGCCAGGACCAAAGAGAGAGAGGAGCACCAGTGACCACTACCTCCCAGCAGGCCAGCGGAACCCCAGCCAGCACTGGTCCCTAACATGGAGCTGGTGTGGGGCTCAGGAGAGCCTTCATTCTCTTAACCACTTTCTTGAAACCAGGGTCCCCAACTCAATCCCAGAAAGTTCTAACATACCTGAGGCCTGAGGCCTGCAGCCTGCGCAGTAGCTCTCTTAACAGCTCACAGGCTCTAACCACCCAGGGCAAGCTCAACCTCCCCTAACTTCTAACTACTCCCAGAGATCAGGTTACCCCCAAACTCCTGACTGCCAGAGTGCTCTTAGGGGGTCTGTGGCTAAATCTAATTAACCCGCCCCACCTGGGGGCTGAACTTCTGTGATGAAATGTAACTCCACCCAGGGGGTGAGGCCTGTGGGATCGCTGAGCCTGGAGGCCTCCCAACTCTCGGCCTCCAACAGACAAAATGGGTGCTGGCCTCTCTTTCCTAGGGACCCACTTGCCAGCCAGTGGGGGACGAGCAGGAGACCTCGTTTATTGGAAACACATTAAAAACAAGGCAAATCAACTAACCATGAGCTGTGTGGCCTCCGCTTCTTTCAGTGGTGCCTGAAGCATCTGTGAGGAGAGGGAGGGGGCCATAAAGACGGAGAGCAGCCATCTATGGCTCCAGCACCTCAGGAGGGTGCCCTCTGGGGAGGGAGGCCTGGTGACTTTTCACCGTGGCTCTGGCCTGCCAGAGGTCCACTCCTCCAAAAGGGGAGCCCTTAAGCTGATCCCCGGAAAGGGAGAGGAAGGTGATAACAGATGCCCCCAGCCCCGCCTCTTCCCCTGGCCCTGCATTGGCTTCCTCTCTAGAGAACACTTTCGCTTCCTGCTGGGCAGGCTCCCCTCGGAACAGGTAGGGCCCCCAGGGACCCAGCATCTGGCTTCTGCACCCACAGCAGCCTCCATCCAACCCTGACCAGCACCACCCATGTCTGGATCTCCTCCCAAGGGTCCTGGAGGGGAGGAGCACCTGCCTTCCCCTCTCCTCCCCTCTTCCCTGCTTATCCCAGACATGTGCTTAGCCCCTGCCCCTGACACCGAAGCTGCCGGTCAGCAGCTAATTGATTTATATTGCTGTGAATTGTCTGGCTTGCACACAACACCCTAACAGAAGTGGAACCTTCTGGAAAGGGCTAGCCCACTTAGCAGCCTCCTCCCAGGCCAGTCACCTAATGCTGGGCCTAGGCTGAATAACTAGCTCATGTCGGGACGGGGGGGGGGGGAGGTGAGGGGATGGATGGAGGATGGAAAGACGGATGAATGGCCTCTCTCCAGAACCACATTCCCTACTCCAGACTGCTGGGGGGGAAACATTCAGAAGGGCTCACCCTGAGGTGAGAATCCCTTACAAGGCTCCATTCTTGGTGAAGAAGACAGGGTATAGTGTGAGCATGGTGACACATGCCTGTGATCCCAGAACATGGAAAATGGAAGGTCAAGAGTATGAGGCTAGCCTCTACTACAACACCCAGCAAGTATGAGGCAAACCTGGGCTATAGGAGGCCCTGTGTCAAAAAGAAGAAAGAAAAATTAAGGTTGGGACAGACAATAGTGGCGCACACCTTTAATCCCAACACTTGGGAGGCAGAGGCAGACAGATCTCTGTGAGTTCAAGGCCAGCATGGTCTACAGAGTGAGTTTTAGGACATCTAGGGCTACACAGAGAAACTGTCTTGAAAAACAAAAAGTTAAGGTTTGGCAGATAAATGAATAGCTCAGATGTGAGATGAGTAAAAGCAAGATTTTCACAGGAGAATCCAGATATTGGTCATATGGCAGGCTCTAGAATATTCTTTCAACTTTTCTATATGTTTAGAATTTCATAAAAATTTTTAATCAAGGCTGGGCATTGTGGTGCACACCTTTAACCCCAATACTTGGGAGGCAGAGGCAGGTGGATCTCTGGGAGTCTGAGGCCAGCCTGGTCTACATAGAGAGTTCTGGGACAGCCAGGACTACATAGTGAAACTCTGTCTCCAAAAAAGAAAAAAAAAAAATTAAAGCCGGGCGTTGGGGCCTTGGTGGCGCACGCCTTTAATCCCAGCACTCGGGAGGCAGAGGCAGGGGGATCTCTGTGAGTTCGAGGCCAGCCTGGTCTTCAGAGTGAGTTCCAGGACAGCCTCCAAAACAATACAGAGAAACCCTGTCTCGAAAAACCAAAAAAAAAAAAAAGAAAAGAAAAAGAAAAAAATTAAATGTGGGGGAGGGTTGCCGCAGTTCCTCTGAAGTCTAGGAAAGGAGGAAGTGGGTGTCACATTGCATCTGGATAGAGAACTCTATTGTGAGCCAAGAACTTTTCTAGGCTCTGGTTTAAATATGGCATTATCCTGCTGGCACACACGCACATGGTTGCAAATAACTATGAGAAGATCTTGCAATATCCCCTTCTGTCCTTCTGTAAGTTCCTGTTGGGAATGCTGCTCCCCCACCCCAAGATGCATAGGCCTTTCTGCTGGGGCCTCCAGAGCTGCCCCCCACTCAGCAACTAAACAATTGCGTGGCCACCCCAGCCAGGCATAGTGGCTCATGCCTATAATCTCAGCACTTGAGCGGTTGAAGTACAAGGATTACCATGAGTTTGGAGCAGAGAAAGAGAGAGAGAGAGAGAGAGAGAGATGGAGGGAGGGAGGGAGGGAGGGGAGGGAGCCACACCCCCTTTGGGCGTGGCTTCAGGTGCGGAGGGAAGCAAACAGGAGAAAAAAACTTGCTCTCTGGATCTCTGTTTCTTGGGTTGTGGATCAGATCAGAAGGGCAGAGAAAGGCCGCCACTGTTCTTTACTATTATCTCCTAAGCTGTTCCCCAGTAAAACATCCATTTATCATTTATCTCGGGTCTAGTGAACTTCAATTGGTACCCAATGTGGGACACTAACCCACAACCCTGAGATTAAGAATCTCATGCTCTACTGACTGAGAGAAAAGAAAAGGAAGGGAAACAAAAAAAGAAAACAAAAGAAAAAAGAATAGCTCCCTGGTTGGTGGTGGCGCACACCCTTAATCCCAGCACTTGGGAGGCAGAGGCAGGCGGATCTCTGTGAGTTCAAGGCCAGCCTGGTCTACAGAGCGAGTTCCAGGACAGCCAAGGCTACACAAAGAAACCCTGTCTTGAAAACAACAACAAAACCAAAGCACAAACAAAAAAAAGAATGGCTCTTGGCACAGCAGAGACTTTTGAGGTCCATTCTGATCAGGCAAGATCTCTGAGCAACCATTAAAACATTAGCCCTTGCCGGGCGTTGGTGGCACACGCCTTTAATCCCAGCACTCGGGAGGCAGAGGCAGGCGGATCTCTGTGAGTTCAAGGCCAGCCTGGTCTACAAAGTGAGTTCCAGGATAGCCTCCAAAGCTACAGAGAAACCCTGTCTCGAAAAAAACAAAAAACAAAAAACAAAACAAAACAACAACAACAAAAAAAACATTAGCCCTTGCTCTAGATGGAGTAGCCTTGATCTTGTCTTCGTCCATGCCAGAGGCCAGAGCATGGCTCGCCGGTGCCTGACAGCATGAGGCTCGCCCAAGCCGAGGACATGGTATCTGCAACCCCTACTGAGGGGGGCAGGTGAGATTACCCACGACACTCCCCCTCCATCTTTGATCTTTTGCCCCTGGGCTACCCCTGCCTCTTGTACCCCATGTCAATGGCCAGCCTCTACTATGACCCTTAACCTCCTGGCATCTGTGTCCCAGGCTGTCTCGGCCACTAGCAGATGGAGCCAGCAAGAGCCCACTAGGGGTCTTCACCACCCCAGAGCCACTTCTTCGACTGCAGAGGACACAGAGGGTGTGGCAGGTCCCAGAGCTGGATGCCCAGCATGCCAAGGCCTTTCTTGAGCTGTGGCCACTGGGGGTGAGTACTCACAGCTCGGGGTCACTTCTGATCTTCCTGTGTCAACCTGTGTCTGGTAGGTGACCGACACAGCGCAACAGGCTGGTCCCCAACTCTCTATGTAGCACTGGCTGACCCTGCATTTCTGATCCTCCTGCCTTCCCGTTCCCTGAATACTAAGATGACGTGTGTGTGTGTGTGTGTGTGTGTGTGTGTGTGTGTGTGTGTGTGTGTGTGTGTTCACACCGAGAATTTGCAGTGCTGGGAATTTAACCCAACACTTCTGGCATTCAAGTCAGGCACTCTACTGACCGATTTTAATCTCCTGGCCTGTACTATAGGCATCAGCAAACAGGTGTTTGTCTTCCCAGCAGCAAGGCGCCTGACGGCTGGTGTTTAGCATCCCTGTGACATCGGGGCTGGCTGTTCTGCAGTTCTCTGAGCGCATCCCTGTGACATCAGGGCTGGCTGTTCTGCAGTTCTCTGAGCTTTCCTTGTGTTACCCAGGGTGTGGCCTAGGGCCATGGCATGTGCATCCCAGGCAGGGAGAGGTGTCATGTGCCTTCCTGCTTTTGACCTGAGGCAGAACACACAGCATGGGCCAGGCAGCCAAGCTTTACAAGATCACCTGGGGGGGAGGGAGCTGGAGAGGTGGCTCAGAGCACTGGTTGCTCTTCCAGAGGTCCTGAATTCAATTCCCAGCAACCACATGGTGGCTCACAGCCATCTGCAATGAAATCTGGTGCCCTCTTCTGGCCTGCAGGTGTACATGCAGACTGAACACTGTATACACAGTAAATTAATAAATCTTTAAAAAAAATCACCTGGGGCTGGGCGGTGGTGGCACATGCCTTTAATCCCAGCACTCGGGAGGCAGAGGCAGGTGGATCTCTGTGAGTTCGAGGCCAGCCTGATCTTCAAAGAGAGTTCCAGCACAGTTCCAAACCTACAGAGAAACCCTGTCTTGAAAAACCAAAAAATTTTTTTAAAAAATCACTTGAGAATTATACAGTACTGAGTACCTCTATGTCACTATGTAACCAGGCTATTCTTGAACAACACCATCCTCCTGCCTCAGCCTCCAGAGTGCTGGAATTACAAGTGTGTGTCACCAAGCCCAGATATCAATCATCATTATTTCCATAGTTCAGCATAACAAGACCATCCACAGGGGTGTGCCAGGTGACACATATCTGTCATCTTACCATTAAGAAGTCTGATGAAGGAGAATCAGGAGTTCAAAGCCAGCCTGGACATTGAGACCTTGTCGAAATACATGTAAATGAATAAATAAATCTTATGGGAATGTGGGATAAATTTGGGGAACCAGAGCTGCCCCCTCTTGAGGGCACTATCCTTGTAATGCTAAGGATGACAGTCAGTGCTATGTCCCACCAACTTAAGAAGCCCTGGGTAAAGACGTTTGGAACCAGGGATGTGGCTCAGTACCAGGCGGCACTCTTGCAGAGTGAGCAAAAGTCCCTAGGGTTAAGTCCTCAGGCTTAGACAGGGCTGGCCTTTTCCAGAGAATTCCCTCCAGCTACGTGTATGGGATATGCCTGTAATCCTAGTACTCGGGAGACTGAAGGAGGGAATTATGAGTTTGAGGCTAATCTGGGTTACACAGATTTTGGAGGGGGAAAAAAGGAAAGCAAAGAAAATAGTACTGGGGATATAGTTCAGCAAACATCCTGGGTTCGATTCCCAGCAAAACACACACACACACACACACACACACACACACACACACACACACACACAGGGGAGGGGACGGACCACAAACCAATGGAACAAACAACAAAAATCAAAGATCTCCATCAAAAATTCCCTGTCAGCTGTCCATCCTTGAACCAAACCATGGTCAGAGAGTAGCTCATCCTACTGGCTAGTTGTAGTCCTGGACCCACCCCCAAGGGTCCTATCCACAGGAACTAGGAATAGAGTGTTCTGAACCTGCCTGCGGGTTGCAACTCCTTCAGAGGGACACATATCAGGTATTCTGCATGTCACATATTTATATTACAATTCATAACAGTAGCAAAATCACAGGTATGTGGTAGCAACAAAAATAATTTCACAATTGGGGGTCACCGCAAATGAGGACCTGTATTAAAGGGTCCCATCATCGTTAGGAAATGGAACCAAGCAGACAGAAAGAAACATCCTCACAGGCCTGCATCAAGCTGATTCTTGCCCTTGTCCCTCCTCTCTAGAGCTTCCTGGTCATAGGGCAGGATCCTAGCCCGGTCCTGATGCTGAAGACGGGACCCTCATCAGGAGACGTCAACACCTATCAAATTCACAAGTTTCCTGGAGGTGAGGTACCTACCCTAAGCTTCCGGTCCACGCTGCAAATGGGTCAAGCGCTGTCAGCTTTGATCCCAACATCTCCTGATCTCCCTAGCACCATCTCCATCCGTCACTTAGTCTGAAGTAACAGCCTCGAATACAGCTAGGGGGTCACCATGAGCCACGGAGCTGTGCTGCTCAGCTTGCTCTCTCTCACTCGCTTCTGGCCCTCACTCACGGCTCAGACAGGGGCTCTCCCCTCTCCTGCTACCCCGGGGGCGGCGCCGCGTTACTCTTGTGCTTAGTGCACCAGCCTCCTTCCCTGAGTGGCTGGTGACACGGTCTTCAGCCCTGAGAGCCTCTGGGAAAAAGGGAGTCAGGGACGCAGGGTCTGGGCCTGGAGCGATGGCTTCGGGGTGAAGAGGACTGGTTGCTCTTCTGGAGGTCCTCAGCGGGTTCCCAGCACTCATGTCAGACGGCTCAAACCCACCTGGCTCTCCAGTCCCAAGGAATCCAATGCCCTCTTCTGGCCTCTGTGGATACTGCATGCATGTATGCAAAACACCCACAAATAGAAATAAATTAAAAAAACAGAAATGAAAATGTAACGCAAAGGCCGGGCGTTGGTGGCGCACGCCTTTAATCCGAGCACTCGGGAGGCAGAGGCAGGCGGATCTCTGTGAGTTCGAGGCCAGCCTGGTCTACAGAGCGAGTTCCAGGACAGGCTTCAAAACAATACAGAGAAACCCTGTCTCGAAAAACCAAAAAAAAAAAAAAAAAAAAGAAAGAAAGAAAGAAAATGTAACGCAAGCCGGGCAGTGGTGGCGCACGCCTTTAATCCCAGCACTCTACAGAGTGAGTTCCAGGACAGGTTCCGAAGCTACAGGGAAACCCTGTTTCAAAAACAAAAACAAAACGAAAAATAATTAAAATGTTAAAAAGCAAAGTTGAAGTCTAGCCTGCGCTACATATAAAGGTCAAAGCTGTCTTGAGTTTACATAGCAAGACCCTGTCTCAAAACGAAAAAGAACAAGAATCAAAGAAGGAACTGGAAGCCTGGCATAAACTCAGGACTAGAAACTCAGGCAGAAAGATTGTTTACAAGTTTTGAGGCCAACCTGGCCTGGTCTTACATAGTGAGTTGCAGGCTAGCCAAAGTTACGATGAGAAGCTGTTCCAGCAAAACAGAAAACACTGAAGACATTTTTGATGCCTTCTCTTTGGTGTCAGAGCTGGGATGCTGACATCAGCTCCGGGGAATGGAATTCCCTTCTCTGGGGGTGGGGCATGAGAATGGAGAGATCCCCTGCCAAGAGGTAGGTGGGGAGGGTTCTGGGCCACAGGGTAGGATGGAAGTGGCCAATGGGCACCCTGCACCTTGTGTGGTCTCTCACCAGGTGTGTCCCTGGAATCCTCCAACCTCTGCATGCCAGACTGCCCCCATCTCCTGGCCTTCCTGTCAGCCAGCAGGTACAGGTGCCCCGGCAGGGTGGCAATGGGGCTCGTCCCTGAGGTCCCATCCACACTGAGTATCCCTTTATCCTCAGGGACGTCTTGCCAAGGACACTGCTCTTGCCCACTCCAACGATGGGTCCTGGAGACAAGGACGCAGGTGAGGCTGCCCCAGGGCAGACAGAGGGCAACTTGCTGGTCTCTGGGAACGGTCAGGACCGGATAACTGCGTTTCAGAGAGGGTGAAGCTGGGCTTGGGGCAGGAATGAAGAGAAGCTGGGGTGGGGCGGGCGTTGGTGGTGCACGCCTTTATTCCCAGCATTCGGGAGGCAGAGGCAGGCGGGTCTGTGAGTGCGAGGCCAGCCTGGTCTACATGAGTGAGTTCCAGGACAGCCAGGGCGACACAGAGAAACCCTGTCTCAAAAAAACCAAGAAGGAGGGGGAGGGAAAGGGGGAGGAGGGGGAGGAGGAGAATCAATAGTAGCTGTGGCAGGAGGGGATAAGACCACTTCTGGGTCTAAACAGGGTAGAGCTGGAGGCCCTGGGACCTGGAACTGCATTCTCGGTCCTGAGTGAGGAAGGCTAGGGGTGAAACCCCTGTTGCCCGCTCCACACCTGGATTTCTTGTCTCTTCTGCTGGTCCTCAGATCCTCTGCGACTTGGCTGCATCCAGGTCAACACCTCGGGGAGGGTACTGTCTGTGGTGAACCAGCTCTACCTGGAGACGCACGGAGGCTGGGGGGACGGTGCAGGCTCCGCAGCAAACAGAGCCAGCGGCTGCCCAGAAATTCAGCCTAGGTCAGCTGAGCGGGGCCTGGGTACCCGGAGGGACCAGGAAATGGCGAGAGGAGACCCAACCTGCTTCTCCCATGCAGCCCCTAGGAAGCCCACCCCACATCGGGTCTCCTGGGTGGAGGACCCCCTGAGACCGGAAGTGCATCATGCTGGACCAGACTCTCTTCACCTTGGCCGGGAAGCGCACCATCCTGGGCCTGCTCTAGCTGGTGTGGTGGAAGAGGAGGAGGATTCGAACAACGCTAATTGCAGAGACGAGGAGGAAAGCCGCGAAGACCTGCTCACTGCCCACATCCGTGCTCTGGCCAGGGCCCGGAGCAGCTATGTGGCCAGGCAGTACCGATGCCTTCGGGCGCGCCTCACCTCAAATTCTGGAAATCCCTACAGGCCCGGGGATCCGGCCACCGAGCTGCTTCAGGATGTGCGCCAGCTCCTCACGGATCTCCAGAATTACCTGGCGAAGGACCCCGACGTCAGAGCAGTCTTTGGGAACAGGGAACCTAGGGTCCCTCGGGACGAGGATCTTGGTAATGAGAACCGGAGGGAAACTTCCCAGGGGCTTGGGGAATGCCATGAATCGGGCCAGTGTGTGCTCACGTCCAGCCTCTCACCCCCATGGGCAAGCACGGCCTTACTTCATGTAGCTACCGCTTCGTAGCTCCACTTAGCACGTGCATGGCCGGCTGGACTCGTCCATCCTTGGAGTGTTCAGACACTCCCCATGCACAGGAGACGGGGTGAGTAGGGCGGGTCACCACCACAGCACTGTCCTCATATGCCACACGTCCCTCAGGCCCCGCGGTGGAGGTGGCCCTGTGTCGGGCAGTTCTGGAACCCCTGAAGCCCGCCCTGTGGACCAAACTCCGAACTCTCAGAGCCCAGGAGCTGCGGCTACTGCGCAGGCGCCAAATCGCCTTGCGGGTTGGGGCGGGGCCCGAGGGACAGAGCCCCGCCCCAGCCCTGCGGAGCCGCATCCACGCGCGTCTCGCGCACCTGCACGCCGCGTGCGCCCCGCGCCGCAAGGTGGCGCTGCTGCTGGCAGTGTGCAGCGACGTCTACGCGGGCCTGGCCCGTGGCGAGAATCAAGGTAAAGAAATTCCGGGCGCAGAGCGGTTTAGTGGCGGGTACCCATATCCGAGGGAAGGGTAACCGGTTCTGGTGGCAGATGCCCACTCAGGCCTGAGGACCGGAAGGAAGGCGTGTGTGTGTGTGTGTGTGTGTGTGTGTGTGTGTGTGTGTGTGTGTGTGTGTACACCTGCCAACCTCACGACCTGTCCTCGAACTTCCTTAGAACCCCTAGGGGCCGACGCCTTTTTGCCAGCCCTGACGGAGGAGCTGATCTGGAGCCCGCACATTGGGGAGACACAGCTGGATGTGGAGTTTCTTATGGAGCTCTTGGATCCAGAGGAGCTGCGGGGAGAAGGTGAGCTCTCACCTCCAGGATGCCCAGGGGGAGGAGCCACCCTCCACGAGGCCCAGCCTCCTGTGCCTCAGAAGGGGAGGTAGCCCTCCAGAGAAGCTCGGAGGGCCCTGATGATCTGACCTTCTCTCCCCCAGCTGGGTATTATCTTACCACGTGGTTTGGGGCCCTCTACCACATTGCTCACGACCAGCCCGATGCTGGTCGTGCACCCCAGGGTCTCAGCTCCGAGGCCCGGGCCTCCCTGCGCCAGTGGCACCGAAGGCGGACACTGCACCAGCAAGCCCAGCCTACAGCCCAGGTGACACCCGTGCGGGATCCAGGTCAAGGGGTGGGGGTAGGATCTGTTGCCCCGCTGACACAGCCTCCCATCTCTCCCCACAGGCTGACCTGCCCTTTGAGGAGCCATGGGCAATAGGGGACCAGTGATGGTTAGCGTCCTCAAACCCCAGTCACTTCTGAGCCTTTCGGCGCACTCCTCTGATAAGCTATATGCTAGCGGCATCTGGAACAGTGTGGAGGGTGGGCAGGAAGAGGGACACGCCTTCTGCACTGGCTGTCCCTACTTAATGTCAGCCCTTCTCCTCCCTCCCTTCCAACCCCGCCTGGCCTGGCCAGATGTTACCTCAATAAGGCCCTCCCCCAGCAAACACAACCCCCAACCAGTACTGAAACCAAACCCTCTCACAGAATAAAGGCACAGTCCCCCAAAGATGTCTGGATCCCATCTGTGACTATGACACTTGACCTGATCAAGAGATCTTCACAAAAATGACAGCACGTGTGGGCCTGAAGTGGGAGCTTTTCTGGGTTCTTCTGTGCCCTGAGTAGTTAAGAGAGTGGCAGAGGTATGGGGGTGTCACGAGCCTGTGCCCCCAGCTTCTCCAGAGAATGAGGTGGGGGAGTTACTTGAGGCCAAGACCACGAGGACACTGTGACATTGAAACGTATCAGATGGTCAGCACAGTGGCGTTGAAACATATTGGGGGTCAGGACAGTGGCACTGGAACTTAGTAGGTATTCAGGCGACAATGAGATAGGCCTTGAAAACATGACTGCCGTAGTCTGTGGCCCATTGATGTTACCTGATTTGGCAGAAGTATTTGTGTAGCTGTTATTTTATTATTACTATTATTATTACTATTATTATTATTATTGTGTTGTGTGTAGCCTGGCTGTCCTGAAAATTGCTCTGTAGATAAGACTGGCCTCAACTCACAGAGATCTGCTTTCCTCTGTCTCCTGAGTGCTGGGATTAAATGTGTGCGCCATCACCACAGATGGTAAAATGAGGGACAATGTCCTGGGGATTGTCTCTGGCTCCAGCAGCATTCATATAATACAGGAGATGAGGGGACTTTATTGGCACAAGAGAAAGAGATGTGAGGACATCAGAAAGAAATTAAGAATCCTAGCTTTGCCAGGTGGTGGTGGCGCACGCCTTTAATCCCAGCACTCGGGAGGCAGAGGCAGGCAGATCTCTCGAGTCTGAGACCAGCCTGGTCTATGAAGTGAGTTCCAGGACAGCCTCCGAAACCACAGAGAACCTCTGCCTCCAAAAACCAAATAAACAAAACAAAAACAAAAAAGAATCCTAGCTTTGAAGACAGGAACGTGACAAGGCCACAAAATGCAGAAATGCAGACGCCGCTACATGCTGGGCAATGCCAATGAAGGAGTCTCTCCTTAGAGCTCCAGAAGTCACATGGCCCTGCTGACACCCTGGCTTCTGGCTGAGATAGTGATGTCAGCGCTATGACCCCCAGAACTATGAACAAATAAATTCCTGATGTCTTAAGACACCAAGGTGAGCCCAGTGGTGGTGACACACACCTCTGATCCCAGCACTCGGGAGGCAGAGGCAGGCAGATCTCTGTGAGTTCGAGGCCAGCTTGGTCTACAGAGTGAGTTCCAGGACAGCCTCCAAAGCCACAGAGAAACCCTGTCTTGAACTGTTGGTGCAGGCCTGTAATCCCACCACTTGGGAGGGAGAAGTAGCAGGACCAGGAGACTGAGACCAGCCTGGGACACCTGAGGCCCTGCTGGACTCAGTAATAGTGTTCTTACCTAGAATTTGCCAGATCTCATGATAAATGGTTGTGAGCCACCATGTGGTTGCTGAGAATTGAACTCAGGACCTCTGGAAGAGCAGGCAGTGTGCTCTTAACCTCTGAGCCATCTCTCCAGCCCAAGCAGAGTTAACCCATCTCTCTAATTTCCACATTGTTTTTTATTATCACTTTTACTTAATGTATATGGTGTTTTTCCTGCATGTATGTCTGTGTGAGGGTACCATATCCCCTGAAACTGGAGTTACAGACAGTTGTGAGCTGCCACGTGTGAGCTGGGAATTGAACCTGGGTCTTTTGGAAGAACAGCCGATGCTCTTAACCACTGAGTCACCGCTCCAGGCCCCACACATTACTTTTTTTTTTTTTTTTTTTTTTTTTTTTTGGTTTTTCGAGACAGGGTTTCTCTGTGGCTTTGGAGGCTGTCCTGGAACTCGCTCTGTAGACCAGGCTGGTCTCGAACTCACAGAGATCCGCCTGCCTCTGCCTCCCGAGTGCTGGGATTAAAGGCGTGTGCCACCAACGCCTGGCCACACATTACTTTTTTTTTTTTTTTTTTGATTTTTGAGGCAGGGTTTCTCTGAGGCTTTTGAGGCTGTCCTGGAACTAGCTCTTGTAGACCAGGCTGGCCTCGAACTCACAGAGATCCGCCTGCCTCTGCCTCCCGAGTGCTGGGATTAAAGGCGTGTGCCACCAACGCCCGGCCACACATTACTTTTTTTTTTTTTTTGACTTTCTTTTTTTTTTGTTGTTTGATTTTTCTTTTTTTTTTTCTCCATATTTATTTTGGTAAAAAAAATCAGATATAACCTTTCAAAAATTACATTAATGTTTAACATGCATTCAAATAACTTTCTTTTTTTTTCCAGTTTAAATTTAGATAAGAAACGAGGTTGCTTCACAATTCAGTTCCAGGTCCCGCTCCCATTCCCTCCCCTCCTCCCATGCCATCCCCCCAACCCCCCCCATTATCCCCTCATTCCCCCAGGGAGGGTGAGGCCCTCCATGGGGGTGTCCATAGTCTCACGCATTACTTTTTAAGACAGAGTCCTCACTGAACCTGAAGCTTGCTGTGGCCAGTGACTGGCTCCACCCCACCCCCAGCCCCCATCCTCCTCACCCTCCCCACCCTCCCTCACTCCCCGCCACCCCCAGCCCCCCACCATCACATCTGTCTGTCTCTACCTCTGCACAGATATTACAGGCACCTGCTGCCATACCAGGGACCTGAACCCAGGACCTCACTGGGCCAACTCCCTAGTCTAGTTTGGTTTTGGAGTCATGGTCTTACTGTGTAGTCCAGGCTAGCTTAGAACTTGAGGGAATCCTCCTGCCTCAGCTTTCCAAATGCTGCAGTGCATGACAGACACACATCCTCAGACGTTTTAAAGATGGAGGCCCTGGTGGCTTGAATGAGAAATGTCCCCAAAGGCCCAGGTATGGGAACACTTGGCCCGTGTTTGGTTGGTGGCACGGGTGGGGGAGGTTTTGGGCCCTTCAGAAGGCAGAGCTTTCCTGGGGAAAGGACTGGAGCCTGTACAGCTGGACCCTACTTCCAGTTCTCTCTGCTCTCTGGAGGTGGGGTGGCTGATGTGTGAGCGCCCAGCTTCCTGCTCTGGCTGCCTGGTGCCACGCCTTCCCTGCCTTTCTGGACTCTTCCAGTGGCTTTTGGTGATGGTGTGTTATCACAGCAATCAGTCATGGGTGCAGATGTGGTCTGACTGATTTCCTCTGGCTGTCTTTTCTGCTACGGCATTTCAAACATCACTGTCCAATCTGTCTGCATGAAGATTTTCTCCTTTTCCTTTAAAACTTAAGAACCAGACATTTCAGCCAGGCGTTGGTGGCGCACGCCTTTAATCCCAGCACTTGGGAGGCAGAGGCAGGCGGATCTCTGTGAGTTCGAGGCCAGCCTGGTCTACAGAGCGAGTTCCAGGACAGCCTCTAAAGCCACAGAGAAACCCTGTCTCGAAAAACCAAAAAAAAAAAAAAAAGAACCAGACATTTCCCACTCCCACACAGTTCATACATACACTTTCTCACACCAGATGTATGGAGGCTTCCCACACATACATCAAGAAAGTCCGCAGTCAATAAAGACGGATGTCCTACAATTTAACCCCGCCCTGACCCGGAGATAGCCTCAGATCCCACAGGTAATGAATGGGCTTGGGTCTGCAGGACAGTACCCAGTCCTGCTGCTTCAGGACCAGTCTTGAGTTTCAGGTTATAACCTCTCCATCTGGCCCATGGGCTTCCCGATTCCTATGGGCTTTCCCTGGCGTTAATTAATTAGTTAGGAAGGTTCGCATAACTGAGGGAAACAAATGGATATGTTTACCAACTTAGTATGCACATTCTCCAACGCATGATGGTTTCACTTACATTTTAAAGAGTTAAAATGTGTATGTGTGTGGTGTTTTGCCTGCATGTATGTATGTATACCGCATGTGTGTCTGATACTAGTAGACCCAGAAGAGGGCCTTAGATCCCCTAGAACTGGAGTTACAGAGGATTTGGAGCGGCCACGTAGGCTCTGGGTATTGAACCCTGGTTCTCTGGGATAGTTGTCAGTGCTCAGACATCTCTCTAGTCCTTGTTCTCTCTCTCTCTCTCTCTCTCTCTCTCTCTCTCTCTCTCTCTCTCTCTCTCTCTGTGTGTGTGTGTATGTGTGTGTGTGTGTGTGTGTGTGTGTGTGTTGCTGACGATATATTCTAGAGCCTCAAACATGTAAGGCAAACACTTTGCCACCAGGCCATGGCCTAGCTCCACAATGGTGAGTTCTGGTGAGCCACACCTCTTCTGACCTCCACGGGCACCAGGCATATGCGGGGCACGTTTATACATGTAAGCAGAAGCACTTACGTAAAATAATTAACTAAGTGTGGTGCATGAAGGTGTCTTGCCACCAGGCCTGACGTGAATGTGAAGCCTGGAGCCCACATGGTGGTCGAGAATCAACTCTTGGTCCTCTTACCTTCACACCTGTGCCCACACATTAGGCCAGCGGTGAACTTACATAAGTCAGGCACAGATGTAAATAGTGCAGGGAAACTACTGAAGGGCGAACCAATGAGAACCTGCACGGCGTACATATGTGCACACAGACACACCAGAGAGAGGCAGATGGGAGACAGAGACCGCACATGTAAATGGACCTGGAGCCAGGGCGTCGGTAGCGCACACCTTTGATGCCAGCACTCGGGACGCAGAGGCAGGAGGATCTCTGTGAGTTCGAGACCAGCATGGTCTACAGAGCTAGTTCCAGGAGAGCTAGGACTGTTACACAGAGAAACCCCGTCTGGAAAAACAAAACAGCAGTTACAAAAGTGGACATGGTGGTCCAAACCTGTAATCCTAGACCTTGAAAAGCTGAGGCTGGGGGCCAGTTTGGGCCTTCATAGTAAAACCCTGACTCAATAAAACAAACAAAACCAAGAAATGTGTTTATGTTTTTGTCCACAATTTTTGAATCGTGACCCTGAACGCTCACTGACCTACTTCCTGGGTAGTAGGTGAAAGGTTCAGGCATCACGCTGGCCGGCCCTGTTACATGGCAGAATGCACTCAGGCAGCACTCTGGCCAGCCCAGGGTCCATGAGTGCAGTCTGCACGCCCCTTACCTCTTCTTCTCCTCCCTTCT